TTCCTATCATTTAAGTTGCTATTTTATAATTTTCTTGCATAATATATAATTTTTTAATTTTTTACGAACCATTTAGCATGTACTGATTTTTTGGAATGCTCTATTTGTTCCAACGACTACTGGTTTCCCTTTTTAAGAACAATATTTGAATATGTATGTATATATTTTTTTTATTTCACTTTATAATTAATCCTACATATATACATGTTAAATTTCAAACGTAACAGATAAAAAATCTCGAAAACTATGAAAGATATTAAAAAAAGCTAAAACAAGTGTCCTATGATTTTGAAGAGGAAAAAGAATGGCATTTAAGGTTTTAGATATCAGGTTCCTATTTGGAGGGCATTTTCAAGGTTAGTTGAAGGTCAACTTAATTTTTTTAAATAGAAAGCCCAATTTTTTATTATATCTTCTTTTTCTATCAATTAATTTTAACAACTTTTGTCTGAAATATTTTTTTATTTGCCTAATATTTTTTTGAAATATTAAAGGAAAACTTGGTAACTTTTTCAACATTTAACTTACGATATCTCGCTAACTATTCGTCAAAAGATAAAATAGTATTAGACTCTTTTATTTTATTTACTATCAAGAATACGCACGCACGCACGCACGCACGCACGCACGCACTTCATTTGCATCTATACCTGTGTTTTCTTCTACTGCCGACTTTCCGTCAGCATATTCGTCATCTTCACGAAGGGTATTTTCCCCTTTCCCAGCGTTTTCATCATCGTCGTCCGCACCACCAACATCGGGTTTCTCTTCTTTTTTTCCGCGTAATCGACGTTTTTCCCGCTCTCGAAAAAAGTACAGATATCGCTGAAGCACCTCTCTATACAATCTCCATTTTTCCCGCGCTCCTCCGAGGACCGGAGAGTTGAGAATTCTATGCATCTCTGCGTCGAGACGTGACAGGACGGAACCCGGAGTACGCACCGTATTTTCATTCTCTACCGATGTTATGTTCAACCCAGTTGTGGGTTTATCTGTCAAAACAGAGGAAATCGTAGTCGAGGAAGACGCCAACGACGACGACGACAGCGAGGTCGGCAATGTATGAGTCTGCAGCCGTAATCTCTCAAGATTATCCGTAGAAATCAGTACCATCTTCTTGACTCTTTCCATGGTTCAAGCGCGAACAATCTTAATTATCAATAATTTTGGATAATATAGCACCGAGTATAGGGCTAATCAGATAAGGTAGAAATCCTCCACGCTGTACTATCACTTTCCGTTTACCTCTCCAATCGGCACGGTTATTAGCGATATGACGTAGCGTTGCTTTGTAACGTGATAGACGATTTTTTTCCCTACTGCCGAGCGGTACGTTACTTTTGAGTGTGTTGAAGGCGCACTCGCAAATACATCTAATGAAATCACGGTCTCGCAGAAAGGCAGCGCGTTGTTTCTCCGTCAAGTAGCACAACGCCTTCAGGAGAGAGATGTTTTTCGCACCGATGGATCGTTTTGCCAGACTTACTGTTTTATCGTTCTTTTTCGCATCCGTTCTGCTACCACCACCCATTGTCATTGCGACGACAAGACTGTCACAGAATAAGCATATGCACGGGTTTTATACGTAACTTCTGGTGGATTCCCGTCGAACGTAAACATGGTGCGTGGTATCGGTGGGGAGGATACATGTACGAAACCGATACTCATCCGGAGTAGGTTGTTTCAGATCGAGCAACAGATATCCATGTGGAAACGATGTAGCGTCATAGTAAGCTTCTTCCAAAAACTTTGAATCTTCCGGATATACCTGCCTGGCCAAGTGGCGTATCTGAGCACGATCACGGGGGTTTTTGAACACCACGATGTAATTCGTATTGAGAGAAATACCTCGTTGCCCTCGTCCTTGATGAAATAGATTTTGCGAAATGAGTATAACACTAAGGTTTTAGTGATGACTCCCCTTTGTGGACAGATCGACAATTACTTCGCACGATGACGATTCCCTCATGAGATCGTCTATTATCACCAATTTCGCGACAAGAGAGTCGTTTGAATAATCATCCGCGCGCGGTAAGCCTTCTCGAAATTCTATCATACAACGGCCTGATTTCGTCACTTCTTGCTGTAATTGACGGTAAGTCTCTTGCCACTCGGCATAATAGAATAGGATCCTGTCGGGTATCCGCCATTGCAGGTAAATAACGAAGAAAAGTATTTACGAAAACCGTTTTCCCACAGTCCGTAGGACAAACGATAGATGTCCAAGGATGTTTCCAGCGAACGTCCATTTTGCTAAATGATTGATTCTGTTACCTAGTGAAGCTACATAAATACTGAAAAAAAGAAGAAACGGTGATGGACTTATAACCCCGCGCCGAGGAGTCTTCCATAACGGGACCACTAGCTCATATCCCTGTGTACGCAATATACAGGTAAGGTATATACAGATAAGTCATTATTGAGAGAAAACAGTCGTATATTTTTACACAGAATACTTAAGACTATATTTACATTTATACATTTTCTTATTCTCTAGAAATAAGTGTTCAGATTCGAAAGAGGAGAAGGATCAACCGACTACTCTCTTACGACGCCACGTAGCCATATGGCAGAGAGTGTCCTGTGTTATTGTCGAATCTACGTTTTAGCAGCACAAATTTGCATGATTTGCTCTCGTCTCTCGTTACGACGTCATGAAATGCGGTACGCTGAATCGCTCTAAAACGTAAATTTATCGATGTTTTCCGCGAATCCTCCTCCCTCTCATCATCTTTCTCGTTTTCGGTTATTTTTCCGGCTATTAATAAATTTTTTATACTGCTAAAGTTAATATATCTCGAATTTTCGAAGTTTAGGGTTATCACCTTTACTTTACAAACTTCGTGAGTTTTACCTTGCGAAGTACGTACAACGTAGGAGTAAAATTTTGGGCCTCAAGGATATAAAGGTCTCTATGTAACTACCTTGAACATGATTCTCAAACTCATCCGTCATATCACCCAAAAAATTACCCGTACGCGGTTCGTACTCATTGGGGTCACCGGTGCTCACATATATACAGGAATCGGTGTCATAATATAATACACGGCGGTCTAATTTTTCTAAATATTCGTATAATTTTAGTCGTGCCTGCGCCGTCGTGTAAGCCGCTATTACTACATTTGTCATCGAAGAAGGTACGAGCGCCTCTTGTCGCAGTCGCCACATGACGTAGATCACGTCGTCGTTTACAGGCAAAATATTTATTATTTCATGCTCGGGACTTGTGAGCAAAGATAATAAATGTTCTCGCGTTCTAACAATCTCTGTATTCGATAGATTAGAACGTTGACCGAATTTTCCCCAGAAGGAATTCAGACACAACTTTGCAACCGAGCGTAGACCGGGATTCCGCACTATATTACACCTATCGAGAACATCCCCTCAATTTCTTTATACTCCCTTAAATAATTTTCTTTTGCGTTCTCGTCGTTATCCTTGCATTCGTTCGGCCAACCGCTGGCCTCCTGCTTAAGCTGTAGGAAACAATTAATATATTCGGCAAACAATCCGCCCTGCCGTGTACTAGGATCGTCTCGTGTGATTTTATAATTCCATATTTCGCTCACAGATGTCACACGATAGCCTTTCTCAATGGCTTTTCGTAGTCGCAAGAGACCCAAGTGCCTTCGAATTCACGATCGGCTGGATTCTCATGTGTACACGCTATTTGAGAGAATGTTTCACATCAGCTGCGACAGAGTGCGAACAATAATTTACCTTGCGTGCGAAACGGTAGTACGAGGTGAAAAAGTTCACGTGGTGCGAGTACTCTGCATTGTACGAGTCCTTCCACCGTAGTAAAGTTAAAATCAGGAGCCACACCGATTAAGTTGGAACACTCTTCACCCACGTAAACTTCCGGATGTCCGATCGGAAAAGCGCCTGTCTTCAGCACATAGGGATATAGAGAGCATACGTCAACGTAATGTATCTTTTCATCCCCCGTAACTTCGTACTGCGTGACGATATTCCCTGTGCGACCCCCGAAGAATGCGTAGCGAGGATCGAGGGGCATGGTTCGTAGCATTGGGTGATTTTCTACAAAATCACACATCTCCTGATTCTCACGCAGCTCTCGATTGAAGACGCATTCCCATTTCTTCGTAAGGAAATATCCCTGTTTTTGAAGACGACTTGACGTTGAGAGTGTGCGTTCGTAGCGTGCGTCGATCGTATCCGTATGTACACTGGTCGAGAGTGGTCTATCGCGGTTCACTCGAAAGCATGCAGGACATCCATGCCAAAAGCACCCGTGAAATTGTAGAACATGTCTTCGCGGTGGATTTTCCGACTCGTAATAGCCGTCAACTAATGTACCATCTGATAAACGTTGTTCCCGTCCTCTACCAGCATGAATTATAACGCGCCCGAGTTCGCGTTCCTTCCACAGCAACCATTGAAGAGCTTTATCCGATTGATTATTACAGCGTCTGTAACCCCCCGTCGGAATGATACCTATCTCTTTCTCACGCAAAAAGTTTTTCCGGAAAACTCGCATACAAGTGGAAGCGATGGTTGTACATTCTTCGAAGGGACATACTTTTCCCCGTTCCAAAAAAATTTTACGAAAGGCGAGACATGCGCGACGAAGAATATCCACGTCGTTGCGACAATAGACCAATATCTCTCGTTGAAAATCGAACTCGACGTTTTTACTAACCATCTCCGCATGCCAGGCTAAAAACTCTTCACGTTCATCCGGTTTCATCGTATTTGGTGAGAAATACCGAATATCCGGTAATGGGCCGGTGTAATATTGGTTTTCGACGGTATTAAATAAATGAAGGAATAATCCTTTGCCTGAAATACCCTTCAACCCAAAAGCTTTTGGTAACATTGACAAACGTATCGGCATATAATTAATGCTGTCTATGAATTTAGTTTGACCAACAGTTAATAGTATAATTTTCGTACCGTTTAAAATAAGTTTTGGCTCAACGTAGTTGTTACTTTCGACCAGGTAGCGGAGAATAAATTGAAAGTCGAACGCGCTAGCGTTATGTGCTATGCATATGATCTGTTTGAAAGCTCTTCGTTGGTCTCGTGACAAAATCGACAAATTGCTTCACCGGATCATTGCGAAATATTAATTCACGCACACCACACCAACGACAACGCACCGTCATGTCGTCTATCTCTATACAGGAATCACATATTTGCTGTGCGACACAAAGTGTAACCACGTGCGTTTTAACATTTTCGCTGCCTTCGACCACATCATCCTGCCGTGTCTCAAAATCATAAAACACAAATGCGACGCGACCTTTCTTCCGTTTGCATGTTTCTACGTTCTTATTATTTTCATCCTCCGTTTCAGTTGCAGTTTCACTAGTATTTTCCGCTCGCGTTGGATTTTTCGATAATCCGTCGGTGTGACGAAGCGGGCGTATGAAACAGAGGTGGTTCAGTGGTTTTGACGACACACAAATACGACAATAAATCATACTACATTTATGTTTTTTTCTTGAGTTTTGTAAATGACCGCATTTATTGCAAATCCGGAGAATGCTACAGACACTCGATGTTGTCTCGACGTTGTATGACTTTGGGGCTCGATGTCGTTCGAAGCATGCGCTACCGTAAAACGCCCGTTGACACATGCTACAATGGATTAGTTGAACCGTTTCTTCACACGACGGAACGGCGAAACACCGGAGACACGCATTTGAACACCGATGTCCCTTTTCAGGTTTATATCCACGGTTGCAACGAACGCAATAGCCCCTACTTCCACTAGCAGCTCTTAAATTCAATATTGGATTAAAGTGGCGACTGCGTTCGTAATACATGATATTTAGTTTATGTCTAATCGCGCGACCTAGAGAGACGAGCACCCCGCTGCCATCGTATAACGGTGGCGCACCACGAGCAAAAGACCTAAAATTATAAACAATGATCGTCGTATCGTACCTTGCGAGATGGAGTTGGAAACGTTCGAACTCTGGAATGTTACATCCTTCATCGGGTATAGAAACGCCAGCTTTCCGCGTGAGTTCGAGTGCTAGCTCTTGCTGCATCACAGAATTCTGTTTTCTCACAGTATTCCATTTTGCGTGAAGCTCCCCAGTGCGCACATTCCCGCGTTCGCTATAAATCATTGCAGCTACAAGCGAACGCGGGAAACATAGATTATCTATATTGTTTATAATAAGGATCGAACGTTTCGCAACCCCTTCATGCGTTAATTTGTTCGGTTTTGCGCCTTGCCCCGAAGGTAACGTGACATTGAAAACATTAACTGTAAAATGCTCCAGTATATCGTGACCTCCAGCGCTTTGAACTAGCGAGCTCACAAGATTCCAAATATCTCCATAGCTCAAGTCACGTGCTGGGCGAAACGATAAACCTGCAGGTCTCCGAGTTAAGTCTGCTGAAGCAAACGATAACCCGACGTAGTCGTTTAGACCGACCGAGTTAACAGCGTAGGCATAGATTTCGCGGAAAGCATTTTCGAGGTAAAGCACGATATCGTTATCGTCGGGGGGAGGCCTAATTTTGATGCGCGCTTCCCTACCGAGAATATTAAATTTTCTAAATTTACACATCCTTTCATCATAAATTTGAATAAGTTTATAGTCGGTCTCGCTAATATTAGCTCTAATTAGGGTGGTTTCTGGTGCGTTCGATTGTTCCCCTCCTTCTCCTATAACGTCCTCCTCTTCTTTTTCGTTGTGCTTGTCTACGTCATGGAAATCTGACTGTTCGCCCCCTCCACCCTGTTGCACTGTAAAAATTTAATTTTAATTTTCTTAAATTTTACGCATGACGCGTAGAAATGAATTACGAGTTCAATATCACCCTACCTACGTGATAGTTTTCGAACAAGAAACGAATGTCGAAGGGCTTGGCGTGGAGACGGCTGTGTTGTGCCTCTTCAGCCGATGCTTCCTCAATATCATGCATCTCCTCACGGGTTGTGTAATTAGAGACTGCTGATGAACTGTGGGTAGTGTCATTCCTCAACGTTTCTTCTACTTTTTCGTTGTTGGAATGTCGTAATGCGGGCGGTGAGATTGTCTGTTCAGGGAAAAGCTCTTTCGATGCTCTTCGTTTTCGACAGAAGCATTGAGAAAGACTGAACGAGAGAAAAGATAAAAGTTAATGGGAAAACCGACGACAATATGAATTATTTCTTATGTTGCTCTAGGAATGAATAATAAAAGACTTACGATGAAGTAAGGAACATGTCACGGACGTGATTACCGATGTCTGGTTCATTTTCTCCGAACAATCTTCGAGCTTCCACAATATCCACAGCAATTTCACAAAGTCGCTGATCGCTTTTAAAATGCCCACATGCAAATAGCATTCCCAGCAGAGTACTACTGCATGAGGCCTCGAAACTATAAAACGTTAAATAATTGCACTCATCGTTATTAGCCACGAGTTCGCGCAAATACCTCTCGCGTTCGATGAGAGGATTTATAATCGATGCTACGATAATACACTCGCGAACGGTTTCAACGAGCAACGACATCTTCTCAACACTTTCTTCGATATTACTTAAGCAGATGCTGCAATACGCGTCTGTTGTTGCGGAGGAACTGAACGAAAAGACGAAAGACGGTGTCTTCGTCAGCTTTTCCTCTACTCTAATTTCTACGCTTTTAAAATTTTCTCCAAACCATATCTTCGAAAAGTAAAGATGAAAAAATTATCGGTAATAATCTCCTTTTAATGTATTCTTAACGGACTTTCCCACGCTCGTAGCGGTATATCTAATCTAACATAGCAATAAGCTAATATAACAAGGTATATCTAATCGCCCTGGAGAAGCGTTTTCAGAAACTTTCCTCTACTCTATTTTCTATGCTTTAAAATTTTCTCGAAATCATATCTTCGAAAAGTAAAGATGAAAAAAATTATCGGTAATAATCTCCTTTTAGTGAAGCCCTAACGATTCTTCTAATATAATCTTAATGGTAAATTCTCCCACACGCGTAGCACGTATATCTAATCTAACATAACAATAACTTAATATAACGAGGTATATCTAATCGTCCCCGGAGAAGCGGTTTCAGAAACTGTATGTTATCGATACAGGGACTTATCTACCATCCTAAGCAAACGTTAATGATACAACTTTTGTATATCATTTTGAAAAAGATAAGTAGTTGTAGACCTTTTACGCCTGCGCATCACCACCCCCCACTACTTTTTTCTATTCTCTACGGGGAAAGCCATACGGAGCTGAGACTGGTGAAGCATTCGAGCTCCGTTGTTTCTACTTGTAGCATAGCTAGTTCTCGTTATTACAAGTTCTTTACAAGTTATTTACAAGTTCTTAGAAGAAAAATGACCTGTGATAACGTGGACACCGCTCTCAAGAAGACGTCGAAGAAGACGAGCAGTCTCTCTACAGAAGTCAGAAACAACCGTAACATGCTTCTATGTACGACGTACGCGCTCAACAATTCGAACACTAAGAGGCTGCAGGTTGGATTGCGCACCACGTACGACATGGGTCCATTTGAGCCAACGATCAGGATCATGGGGAACACGTCTTCAGGAATTCTCCTTGATTTGAATACGTGGGAGAAGTTTAAAGACGTTATATCCTCTACAAATTCTTATTTGTGTGGGGAAAATAAGAATACATCAACCCCTATCATCATCAACAATATCAGCATCAACTTTACCTCAGCGTACGGTGCACGAGCTGTAATGGTGAGTCAGCGAGGGAAAATGCTGGACGAGAGCGGACCTGCGAAGAAGACATCGGAGGAGTCTACGCATCTGAAGCAACCGCCGCTGAAGAAGCGTAAGCTGTATACAGAGAATATTATAATGCAGAAGACATCTTTCGATGGTCTGCAAACTGTCACAAAATGTATCGACACCTGATACGAGCAATTACAAGCGGTTGCCGCTCTTGTGAGTAAGTGTAAATGTATTTTAGTAGCCGAAATAGAACTTAATCTCACGAAGGAAGGTGTAGACGAAGATTTCGTAAAACAAACGCTCGTTGATAAATATTGCGAAATCGAGGAAAATGTACGATGTCAAATGAAAAATTTACAATTTTTAGACACATATTTTAATATTGTATTCCGTGAATTGACTACAATTCATTTAAATGAAATTATACACGAGATTATAACAAACGCTGAATGCTACGAGTGTTTGCAAAGCTATGAATGTAACTCCAAAAAATAAAATGTAAATTTATTTTATAAAAATGTTGTATATTCTTTTCTCTCCACCTCTTCTCTCTTCCCTGCGATCTCCAATGCGTTGTAACAAAACCCAACTTAACTTAATTTTTCGAGTTCGAAAGCGAAAGGGACACACAAGTAAAAATATTCAGGAGTATGTATAGACTGGTAGTATCGTTTTCCAACAATAGTTTTATGTAACTTCAAAAATAAATGCGAATTTATTTTATAAAAATGTTGTATATTTCTTTCTCTCCATCTCTTTTCTCTTCCCCAGCGATCTCCAATTCGTTGTAACAAAACCCAACTTAACTTAATTTTTCGAGTTCGAAAGCGATGGGGACACACAGGTTAATAGTACGATGGTAAGACGGCTTAATTCGAGAGTCAGAGGCTCCGGTTCGAATCCAACAGAGGGCCTTACAGGGTTTTTTTCAAAACTTGTGACGTCAATATTTTCCGTATATAGACGATATAGGTAATTTCCATCAGGGTATAGCGGTAGTGGTAAGACGCGTGACTCAAGAGCCTGAGGTGCCAGGTTCGAATCCAGCAAGACCTTACAGAGTTTTTCTAAAAGCTGTGACGTCGATACTTTCCGTATGTAGACGATATAGCTAGTTTCCATCAGGGTATAGCGGTAGCGTAGTAGTAAGACTCGTGACTCAAGAGCCAGAGGTCCCAGGTTCGAATCCGGCACAGCTCCCACAGAGTTTTTCCGCAAATGCAATATGCAAATTAAGTAGCTGATCAAGAGTCAGAATTTGTCAAACTCTCTAATAATGACGGTCATAATTTGCTTATTTCAAAAGTCGATTAGTTTTTGCCTGTGGGTAGGTATGGCCCGTCAAAAAATTCCCCCTCCACTCGACCCGCCGGCGCCGGTGGGCGTGGTTTAGTGGCGCCGGTGGGTCGAGTGGAGGGGGAATGTTTTGACGGGCCATACCTGCCCACATACTACTCACGTAGACACTTGATACAGGCGGCGTCAGTGAGTGGCGGTAGGCGAGCGCGCGCGGCGAGAGGCAACGTAAACGACAAGAGGCGAGCGAGCGCGACGAGGAGCGAGCGAGCGCGAACGACGAGGAGCGAGCGAGCTATAAGGAAAAAGCTATAAAGAAAAAGCTCGCTCGCTCCTCGTCGCGCGCGACCGCCTCTTGTCGTTTACGTTGCCCCTCGCCGCGCGCGCTTGCCTACCGCCACTCACTGACTCCGCCTGTATCAAATGTCTACATGCTTACTGCGGCCGCCCTCCGCTCTCTACGTGCTCGTTGGCTCACATGTTTTAATTAATAACTCGATAACTATTGGCAATTTGACATTATGGTACATGACTTTTCTTCTCGGCTACACCCAATCTATCTCCAACTTTCGTCTGCATGATCAGCTATCAAACACCCTGTATATATACAAGGTGTCCTAGAACTTTGGGACACGGACTCCGTAGGGATATAGAGCTAAGTGAGAGAAACAAAAAAGTCCTATGCCATAATGTGAAGTTCGTAATAGTTTTTTAATTATAACAGCACAAAGTTAGGCGTTTTCTACGCCCAGCGCGGCCGATAGACACTCCGCGGCAAGCTATGTACCTAGGAGCTGAGCGATAACGCGTCTCGCGCTGACAGTCGCGATGGCGTCTTAGCGCTTTGACGCCGCGCGACGGTCAACGTGAGCTGCATTATCGTTCAGCCCCTACGTACATAGCTTGCCGCGGAGCGTCTATTGGCTGCGCTGGGCGTGGAAAACGCCTAACATTGTGCTGTTATAATTAAAAAAACTATTATGATTTTCACATTATGGCACAGGACTTTTTTGTTCCTCTCACTTAGCTCTATATCCCTACGGAGTCCGTGTCCCAAAGTTCTGAGACACCCTGTATATAAGGATGTCCCATTTTAAGTGTCCACCCCAAGTATCTCTCTTATTTTTGACTTTAGAAAAAAAGGGTTCAGACATGTTTTGTATGGTTTCGAGGGGGCCATAAGATGGTACCATTGATTTGACCTTGAAGAGTCATTTGAAGGTCACGTGAAAGTTACCTCAATTTTTTTATATGGCACGCCCTATTTTTTATTATTGGGTGAGTGCAAAAGTTCGTGCGGAGTTTGTGAGTAAAAGTCACACAGTGATTAGGCAAACAAAAATCTTTATTCAATCAATGATATATTCTCCATCGTTTTCTATAATCTTTTCCCAACGTTCTGGCAGCATACGGATGCCTCGATCATAAAAACTGCGCGGTTTAGATTCGAAGAACGAAGAGACGCCGTTTTTTAAGGCCTCCAAAGAGTCAAAGTTTTTTCCATTTAAATAATTTTGCAATGACCGGAACAAGTGATAGTCAGATGGTGCGATATCAGGAGAATACGGTGGATGCGTTAAGACATCCCATTTCAGGCTCTTCAGTTTGCGCAGCGTCTTTTTCGAAACGTGTGGTCTGGCGTTGTCGTGATGAAAGACGACTCCCTTGCGATTTGACAAAATCGGACGTTTCTCTTTTATTTCTCGATTCAGATTGGTTAATTGGCGACAGTACTTGTCCGAATCAATCGTTTCGCCAGCGGGGAGAAGCTCGAAATAGATTATGCCCTTGCAATCCCACCAAACAGAGAGCATCACCTTCATCGGGTGCAAACTGGCCTTTGGCATTGCGTCACCATGCTCACCTGATTGTTTCCATGTCCGTTTGCGCTGAACATTGTTGTAGAGGACCCATTTCTCATCGCCCGTCACTAGTCGATCCAAAAACGACTCGTTATTGAGCCGCCCGAGTAAAGAAACGGCTGCAGAAATTCGCTTGATTTTGTTCTTCTCGGTCAGCAAATGGGGCACCCATATCGAGCATCGAGCTTCAAATCGAATCCCATCTTTTTTAAACGCCGAAAAGCGGTTGATCGGTCAACGTTTAGTGCTGTAGCAACTTCTTCTGTTGAAATTCGCGGATTATTGAGCACTAAAGTACGCAAAACATCGTCATCAATGTCAGAAGGTCGACCAGAGCGTGGCTCGACTTCAAGGTTAAATTCTCCGCGCCGAAATTTAGCAAACCATTTTTCCACAGTTCGTTTAGCTGGTGCTTCATCCTGATAAACATCCCGAATGTTTTTTACGGCTGCGGCAACGTTTATTCCCTTCCGAAACTCGTAAAGCATAACATGCCGTAAATGCACCTTATCGATACCCATTTTTAAAGTGATATTTCTCGAAGCAGTTTGTATGAAAACAAATGATTTTTTTTTTAATAACAGCTGAAGACGTCACCTTTCCAACGTTATATAATATGTAGATGGAAGTATTAGTGACAACACTTTACGACGCTTATAACTCCATCTATT